ATAGCAGCATGGTTATAGAGTACAGTAGGTCGTCACTTAACGATAAGTTCTTAGAAACCATGATTTTTAGCCTAACAACTTACAGCAGGTCCACAAAAAAACATTTCATTCAATGTTGTCTTCATTTCATTATAATATTGATGACAACAAAAATCGGTTTCATTGTACATTGTTTAACTGAAAACGAGTTTCTAAAAAGCTATTGACAATGTTAAGTGAGGATTTATTGTATTCTTTCATATCAGTTACTGTAGTGTCAGTGTTTTCATAATTTTCACTGAGCAGGACCTAATCTAAATCCAATCTGAACCTTTGTTCAAATCTAATTTTCATAGGTCAAAGGGAATTGTGTCCACAACAATTGTCTGTGTAACAGAAGTTCATATGAATCAAAAAGAATCAAAGGAACGGCAATTTCTTATTTGCAAAGTATTTTCTCTACTGTTTCTTGTCAGTATTTTACTCCCATATGTATGTAGTCTTAATTATAAAATTCAGAAAGCACAAACCGTATTTTTTTGTTCGTCTGTTTTTTTTACAAAGATCAATACTAGAGGTGAGATACACATACTTATAAGCCCATCAGTTCATGGTCTCTGCTATCCCCTTGCCAGAAGATGTAATAGACTTAAAAAACCATGCAGTTGGATCTGGGTTTAAATGTATGCTTGTTAGCTGTGGGCAAGTTTCATATCCTCTTAAGGGAAGCATAAGATTTTAAAATGGGAAGAAAAATAGTACCTACCTGTTAGGGTTATTATAGATTTTAAAAAAACATCTGCCATAACATAAGTACTTAAAAACCTAGTCATGTTTGTGTTAGTTCAGTGTCTAGCTTTTGGGGCCCCTCACCTAGGTGATAGTTAATTCTCTGGTGGGGAGGGACAAGTAGGTCACCTACTTTTCTGAGAAAATACAGGCTGTCAGTCACACCCTTATCCTCCCTCCTCACTTCAAAATATCTTCAACTTTCCCTCCCTTTCTGGGTCGGGAGGAGCGCCTCTTTTCCTTTCCAAATCCAACTGTAAGTTAGATGTCATTTCTTTCCCATATCAGATCTTGCTCAATTACCACGAGTCATACCTGCAGCTTTTTTCGTCCTCTTGGCTCCTTCATTCCCTACAAATGTCTATCTTGCCTCTTGAAAACTGTTGGCACTGCTAACCCTATAAGGAAGGCCACAGAGTTGCCAGTTCCAGGTTGTACATTTACATTTCATTTTTTGCCCATTTGCTTACTGCTCCATCCCTTGCCATCCCCTCACCATCAGATTTCTCAAGAGAGGAAGGTAAGGCAGGGGCTGTATTCACTTCCTCACCACCCACTCGTTTGTTATTTCCTGCAAAATTTTTGCTCTCTTCCCTCTCTTTTTTTTTTTAATTTAATTTTTATTTTTATATGTAGACATGGGGCCTCATTCTTGCCCAGGCTAGTCGGGAACTCCTGGGCTTAAGCAATCCTTCCACTTTGGCCTCTGAAAGTGCTGGGATTATAGGCATGAGCCATTGCACTTGGAATGATTACTAAATCTTTCTGATTACTAAATCTGATGACTTTTTCTCATTTTTCATTCTACTTGACCTATTTTCCTCATCTGATACTACCAATCACTGCTGCCTTCTTTTTTAAATGTATTTACTTAGAGGCAGAGTCTCGCTCTGTCACCCAGGTTAGAGTGCAGTGGTGCAATCATAGCTCATTCAGCTTCAAATTCCCGGTCTAAAGCGATCCTCCCATCTCAGCTTCCCAAAGTGTTCGGATTACAGGCATAAGCCTGCCGCCTTCTTAATATAGTCTCCCTCCTGAATTTTCATGATACTTGGCTCTCATGGTTTCACTCATCTTTGTCTCCCTAATGTAGACAGTTACTAATTTTCTGTCCTTGGACATCATCTTCTATACTGTCCTCAAACAGTAATTTCCTTAGTTATCTAATCATACCCATTTTTTTGAAAGATAATTCTAACATTTATACCCAAAGCTTCCAAATTCATTCATTAGCACCAGATCACATTTTCGAACACCTGACAGTTCTCACTTCCGTGGCCCATGAGCTTTTCCAACTCATAGGTTCAAAACTACATGTCTCGTCTTCTTCCCCTTTCATACCTGAATCTTGATTTTTTATTGTTGTTTTGGCAATATTAATG